GAGAATTGCAAACTCTTCAATGCAGTAACATTTTTCGTGATATTGTCACAGAGTTGACCTTATTATCTGATAGTTTTTGAGAGTTTTCCAATTCTAAGTAATGGGTTGTTGCTAAGAGGCGTTTATTATCATATCTGTTGATAAGAGAATTATGAGCGATTATGTAGTTTCTATCAGTGATAGGGTTGAATTTGATTGGTGTCAATGGAGGACCTATCAGAGAAGAGACGAGATAATCAAATTTCCTAATATTTTTCAAGTGATCATGAGTATGAACTGAATAACCATAGTCCATAACCCAATAGGCACCCATAAAAGTTGAAGAATACGTATTTTCATTAAATGTAACAATACATCTTTAGATAATCACGTTGAATGTATGTTATTGAAACCATACATATGGAGAAAGGAAAGCTTTTTTGGAATTTTTCATCAATTGATATGTGGTTGACCTGCACTCATTTCTTATTAAGCTGTCTCAGTTAGGGTTTGAGTCCCTTAAATACCCTATCTGAATAACTTTTGTGAAAATGAACGAATATTATGTTGTTTCATACCCATATGTGAGTTAGTATAATATAACTTTTTCTATTTCCACGTAGCGGGTTTTCCTCTTGTATCGTTGGATTTCCCAATAGTGTAGTCTGAGGATGGACATCCAAATTTGGTTTTTCAAATTGAAAAGTCGTGAAGGTGACCTCGTGCTCTTTTCATTTATTAATCCTATATCACTCCAATTTGAGCAACTATGGACTTCGATGTCGTTACTGAATATCTGACCTATTTTCGCAAACGTTTTGCGTTTTTGTGAAACTCACGATACCAAAATTTCCATAGCTCGCTCCGTTTATGAGATACAGGGCAAAATTGAAAATGTTGCATTTTGAGACACCCCAAGTTATCTTTCAATTTATCGAAAAATTAAAAACTGTTTTTTATATGATATTCTCTTATGTAGAATACAAAAGCGTAGTAAAATTTTCTAAATAAGCTGTTATAATAATCCAAAGTTATGTTCATGTAAAAGGAATACTTTGTTATATTTTTTATTTTCGACACTTGTACGATATTCTGAGTATTCGCTATGTATTCAGATAATTTCCAGTTTTTCAGTAGATTTTTCGTTCAAGGGCTTCGTGAATATGTGGCAAGATTTTCCATATCACAAACTTTTATATTTACCTTGTTGCTAACACAGTGTTTTGTCACACACTAGTTACAATCTCACCAACATTCAACATTTATCAATATTCAGCCCTATTTGACTATGAAAGCTGTGGGCCTAACTAGTAGAAGGTTATGAAAAAAAGAGCGAGGGCAGAATGTTTCATAATCCTTGTCAGTTACCTGTTCATCTTAAATTTTTGTATACAACTGGCCAACGGCTAATAATAATCCAGGATATCAAAACTACTAAAATTTAGAAATCAACCTATATCCCAAACATATATCTAATTTTTCGTAGTTTTTATGGTAAAATTGGAACTTGTGTGTCGAAACACTGTGCCAGCAACAAGGTTAATATTGAAATTTGTGATATGAAAAATGTACAAAAAAACTGGAAATTGCATAAATAGCTACTACTCGAAATATCGTATCGTATGTTTTGAACAGCGCAAAGTATTAAGGTTCCACTTGAAAAAACATAACTTTGAGCTATATCTGAATAATAACAGCTTATTTTGGGAATCTGACTACGCCACTAGATTCTACGTAAACATGTGGATAAGAGACAGTTTTTACTTTTCCTAAAAGTTGAAAGAGAGCTGAGATACAGGGGGGATCCCAAAATGCAGCATTTCTAATTTCGCCGTGTATCTCAAAAACGAAACGTGCATGCTATGGAAATGTTTTTTGCGGTATCGTAAGTTTCACCAAAAAGTAGCCATCAACGTTTATATCTCTATCTTTGACAATAAGTGAGATGGTCTTTGAGTTCTGTCGTAAGGACATCGAAGATGAGATACAGCCTGTACATAAGTGTACATAGTTATTCCCATTGGGCATGATACCATAAAGCCTACAAACCTGTTGGAATTTGTTCATGTATCCCTGGATAGAAAGAATTGAACAGTACTTGTCACTAGCACAGTTTGCGAATGCTTTAGATGAATTGGGAGATTCACCATTGATTGTTGGCTTGCCTGAATCGGTCCAGTATTCCATTGTTATACTGAACGGGCCGCATACCTTACCTGAAAACTCACCATTAGTAAACACTGATCTATAAACGACAAATGAAAGTACAGTACAGCTTTGTTTTGAACAAGTTGATTCTCAAGTCACGAAAATCAGGGGGCAATGAATTAAAAACCTTGACACCTATGTCCACATATGGATATTTGTTACCAAAGGAAGTGTTTTTGTTGCTACCAAATCAAGCCTTTCTACATATGAGTTTGCCTCAGTGGCACGCTTCTACTTTTCTCACTCGTTATAGAATTATAGCTTTTGAAGACTTTCTTCCACGGGTATTAAGTTAATCGGAGTAGTAAACCTTGATATATCTACTTACCTGAACAATGTTCTGTGATATTGCAGGAAGAAGCAGCTTCACATATGCAACCTAAACATTGTTGTGACACTGGGATGTCTTGGGTCAGCACTCCTGAAAATATACCGACGTTTTAAAAATGATCATCGGTTCCGAAACCATTGTCGGAGGATATTGAGTGCATCTTGCTATTCCTGCATTATCCAGGTGTCTTTGAGCTATGTAGTACCATTACAACGATGGATGAAAAAAATATTTTTTGGGTTCAAGTTCAATATTGGATGAATATTATTCTGATGGACAGACCAAACAAATAATATTGAGGGTCTTCTCAATTAGAACACCAGAAGGTTTCGAATACGTGTTTTGACAACTAAGTTGCCATTCTAAAATTCCCTGAAGAGAAAATGAGATAAGGCTGACACATTAGTATATTTCGAAATATTCTCCTGATATTTTCGTCGAGAGTGATTGTGATAGTGAGTATGTGATATCATTGAATTATGTCCATGCTTCATAGCAGACATGTAGAGACTGAACACAATAATTATTGTTATACGGCGAGCGTTGTCAAATAGTAACAGTAAATGCCTACAGTTTGGAGTTAGATTCAGAACCTGAATCTTGGTTAATCAGTTTTTGGTCTTTCTCACTTTGATATCACTTTGTTCAATTTCCTATTGTCCTTCACATAGCCAGGAACATACCAAATATCTTGTTGACTCTATGTAAAGCAGGGTATAAGGAAAACACGTATTCCAAATCTCTATGACCGATCAATCTCACATAAATCGTTTTGGAAACAATGAAATAGGCAGTAGAAAACCATATCATAACAGAAGTCTTAGAACGGGGTGCCACTGCATGTAGACTTCACTGGTGCAACTGAGAAACACAATCTGATACGCACTGACCAATAGAGGATCTGTAGTATGTGCCTTCTCAGAAATGGAAGGCGCTTTTTGACAATACTCTCCACGAAGCTGTCAAAAGATCATTAGATCATGGGGGAGTAGATAGCACGACTTCCAGATGGTTGTCGCAACTGCTCTCTACCCAGGATGGCAGAAACGGAAGTAGAAAAAGAGACTATTTCTATAGGAACAACCTGAGAGTGTCTGCAGGGGGGAGTCCCACTTATGTGAAGCCTAACGGTAGATGAACTCCTCCGCACTCTAACAAACCTCGACATATCTTGCCAGGGGTATGCCCATGACATAGTAATAATTCCAAGAGGCAAATTCGAGAACACCCTCTGCGACATATTTCAGAGGGGATTGATCTACACAAAAAGATAGTGTCGTACAGTGGAACTCAACATCAACCCCACAGAGACCACACTAGTAGCCTTAACAAGGAAAAGGAAACTTGATCTGAAGACCATCAGGATTGATGGCAGGTCATCAAGTGGAAGACAGAGGTCAAATATTCAGGCCCTATCCTAGACAACAGACTTTTCTGGTACAAGCAGGAAGAAAATGTAACTGATAAAGCCAGGAAAGCTCAATGGTGTGCAGAAACTTCGCAGAAAGCAGCTGGGGATGCAACCCATAGATACTGCAGTGGATGTACACAGCAATAGTGAGACCAATCATCACCTATGGGACAGTGGTGTGGGGAAGTAGAGGAAATCTTCACCAACACGAGAATCAATCTCTCTGGTTTGAAGATTAGCTTGTGTATGCATAACGGGTGCAATGAAAACGTCCCCAACGGCCGCTATAGAAGTAATCCTAAATATCACGCCCCTGCTTATTCTAGTGGAGAATACAGCAAAATGGACTACATATAGTCATATAGTCATCAGACGAAGATCGAAACGTCCTTCTGAATACGATGAGGCATATGGGGCATAAAAAACCAATGCCTTGTGAAAGGATGCAATATAAAGCTCAGTTGTAAGAATGATTGCGAGCGAAATAATACCATTTCACAACTGAGTAATGGTGCCATCAAATGGTACACAGAGAGCTATGGAGTCATAAGGAACTGGGATTGGAGTATTCTAGTTTGAACTAAATACTCATAGGGCTTAGGTAAATCTCCAAATATTTTCCAGTTTGCCAAGCAGTTATCAAAGCGTTCACATAATCAGCTCTGAGATAGTCTGGGACTAAAAACTGAGCGATTTAGGTAGAGTAAATAAGGTCATCCTTCTCTGGCTACCGATGCATATATACCGGACTGAAGGGGAATGAAGTAGCAGAAAGACTCGCGAAGAAAGGAGCTGGCTGAGACACCATTCATGGGACCAGAACCCTTCTGTGGATCAGTAAAACAACGATAGTTTGGAAATTGAATAAAGGAATCTATCTCAAGAGAGCTAGATACTGGCCGAACCTAGAAGGTATAAAACGAGCGGAGCTACTCCTGGGAATCCATAAAATCTTTAAAATATACCGAATGCATCAACCTAAGTAAAAATATGATTCGTATACTAACTGGAGTCCTATCAGGGCACTCTCGATTGTGAGTCGATTTGTAGAAATTCCGGGAAGTAGAGGTAGCAGAGTGCAGATTCTGTGAGGAAGAGGACGAAACCTCCATCCACATCTGGAAAACTGTGTAGCTCTTCGCAACGCAAGGGTGCTCTGTCTTTGAAACCATACCATATCCTCTGCCTGAGGAGAATAGGTTTAGAAGAACAACTATAATAGATGAGTCCTAGGACGCATGGCAAGAAGAGGGGGCATAAAAGATCACATGGGTCGCAGTGTACACATCACCCTTATTTACACATACATATATACATTCCATCAACTGCTCCAACACCCCCACGTCTTGTATGGCATCATAACTCAAGAGACTGGAACGGTCTTCGCATGTTTTTCTCCGAATTTCCTTGGCATAGAATATGCTTCGATTATAAGAATCCTTCACAGTATGATGCGGAAATATCCAAGATCATCACGCTTGGAATAGACACATACATACCTCATTTTTGGAAGAGACAATCACCTTCGATATCCTGGATCAACAAGTTGCCTCAAAACAAACAGCCTACCATTGTTGGCGAAACTAATATAACCTTCTGACTAGAGCAAAATATGTTCAACCTTATATTCCCATAGTAGAGTGCCGCCAGACATTCAACCCGTTTAAATTCGAATGTCCGAAATCGTCTTTCGTCATCGCTCCATCAGACGCATTCTGCTAGGACATGAATAATAATAATAATAATAATAATATAATAATAATAAAAATTTTGCTCGCTCGTATATGACATTCCTTTTGACTACAAACTGCTCGTCAAATATATTCTTGATAATGTCATATTCTTGCAAATCGCTAGAATTCAGTTTGAAAGCGTTCAGCCTGCTACATCTCCAAGACGACTGAATTGAATTAAATTGATCTGCTGATCTTATGATTCATGATTAAGACCAGAAACTTGTCTGAATCTCACAAACCTTCGAATCTAATTCCACCATTCTTGTAGTTTTTGAAAATCGAATTGTTCAGGAGGAACTACAGTGAAAGAAGCTTGAGTGGTTTGAGATGCACTGGTCTGAGCACTGGTCTGCTCCGGTGGATTTGTGTTCGCCTTGAGTTTGGGCATGACTTATACTATTGGACAACAGTATTGAAATGTTGTTGATCTCCAGGTTCACATATGAATGAGGGAAAGTATTTTGCATATGATGTGAACGGTACGATTTTTGTTCCAGAGTAATCGATAGACAGGTCTTCTTTGGTAGTTTCCCGTATTCCCTTCCCATTTTCTCCCGTATAAACCAAAACAGTATCGGTGGCGAAAATATATTATTGATAGTATGCGACCAAGGACTATGCCTTGTGCAACGCCACAAATAACTACTCTCTCAGCACTCATCTTACCATTTATTAGCTGTTTTTGGTTCGTTAAATATAGTTTCTGAATATTTTCAATTTCCTCTAATACCGATCCTCTCTAACTTGTCTAGCAAAAGTATGTGACCTATAGTATCAAATGCCTTCGCCAGGTCGAGAAATATATACCAAGCCATGGCTTAGTTCCATCAATTGCACTATACATTTTTGATGCTGAGAGACCTACAGCATTTTAAATGCGCACGTTTTGCTGAAACCCAAATTGTTGGGGTGAGAGAAATGCCTGGTGTTCTAAATATACTTGGATAGTCTTGTTTCTATTACTTTTTCAAAAATCTTCGATATGCTGGATGTTAATGGAATCAGACGATATAGTTAATCAATGGAGTATTTTTGGTAGTAGCAATTTTAAACTGATCCGGAAAATCACCGCTATTTATCGATTTATGATTTATATTCATCTGAGCACTGGAGAAATTCGTTTATAATTTGGTCCAGACCACAAGCTTTTTTGCCTTTCAGATCCATCATTATTTTTAAAATTTTTGAATATCTCTATCTGTTTTGGTTTCAAAAACATGGATTGCGTATATTTTTGTAAACACATGGTCTTTTTATCTAAGAGAAACTCATATTTTCATCAAGTAACACATTGTACATTTCCTTCAGTTTTTCAATTCTTTTCAAAATCAAGTTGATAGAAGCAGGGAGACTTGAGATTTCAAATCATATTTTTTGCAGTATGCACAAGAAGTTTGTTCAAAATTTATTTCGATTTTGTTAGTTCAAACACATTCTCATGTATATATCACCTATCTGCAGATGCAGATTTCGAACTAATGAAGTGAATATCAAGGTTCCACAAAATTATCGGTCGAGAGATAATTTCGAATAGTGTTAAAAGAACTGTAGAATGAAGGTTTCTATTCGAAATTGATAAATTAAGGGGGTTAGTTTCAACCGAAAGTGACTTCCGATGTTTTCCGATTTTTTTCAGATAATAGTTCCGTGATCCCTATGTATTTTTTCATTTCTTGGAGTTTTGAATTACGGCGGGTCATCTAATTCAGTAAAACGAGCTGTATACGCTGAAGCATCTACTTTTTATACAATATGAATTTATGAGTAGATGAAAGAGCAGGTACAGTTATAATAGGACATATTTGGAGTAAGTTATTCGTGTAATATTATGATTATTAAAAAGCGTTCTGTGTTCGACTGAATATCCGCCATTCATGTAACAACTATATGAACTGTTATAGAGAATTCTCATATGTTCAGGCTTGCTATGTATCGAATCACCCTGTATCCAGTTAATATTTTCTTCACATAGAAAATGCGAATTCTCTGTTATGTATTTCTTTATATAGAGGGTGTCTGTAAAAGGTTGGGACATGGCTCGGCTGTGGATTCCTGGGATAGAAACAAGTTGATTTAGGCCAACTCACCTATATCCAAAATCATTTCGTTGAGTTGGTACAAGGCGTTGAAGTTCTTTTGTAAAAAAATAATTTTGCTCATAAAAAGAGTAGGCTGAGATCGATTCTCATAATTTTTGGCATGGCATGTTCTGTGACTGTGAGTCACGTTTTGAGATGTTTTTGATCATCATCAGTGACCTGCAAGTGTTCCAAACAGCCATGTTGCCGTACAAATTTGGTGACAACTTTTTAAAGGTCGTCCTGGAAACTTTCAGTTTTTTTTTTCAGAAAGATATTCCATTCAGAAATATTTTTTGTATCGTGTTAATTTTTGATTAATAAACTGGCTCTTCATTAGATTTAAACCTTTCAACTTATTGCCCGTGTCTCAACCCATGGCATGATTGTTACTTATCCAGTGATGTTTGTTTAAATTGTATTGTTCGGTATGTTGATTTTATAGTCTTCATTCACATTTGATTGTCTTCGTTTTTTAAACTTTTAGGTACTTATTATTTGTCTGATGATGGCCGTAGCGCCGAAACCGGTTACATATGTAAAATGTTAGCTACTACTATTATATGAAGTGTGGTCGACCGACTTTGAGCCCCTAGTTTTTTTTTTTTCTTCTTGAAAATACTGTGGACCACTTTGAGAAAATGGATGATTTTCATGATTTATGCGAATATTCAAATATAATCCTCATATTATGTAATTCTTCAGTTGGGTGTTATATTCTCTGTTATCAGCAGTAAGGGTGACTTTATGAAAACTTTTAGCATTTAAGATCTAACATTTGAACATTTAAGACTTAATCTTCAAAGTGGAGTCAGTAATGAAAAAAAATTGAGATTCTAGGGCGATATATGTTTTCTGTCATTCCTGACATCTAGTTTCTGATACAGAACCAGATTTTCAAAAGTTTAGTAACTTGGAAACTGGTTGGAAATCAAAATTTCTGTTCTGATATCATTCTATTAATTTATATTCATATCCATGGAATGATACCCACATCCATTATATCTCCACATCATTTTGAAAGTAATCACTAATCCTTGCCCAACAGAAACTGGCTCACTCCTTGGATCTTTTGCCAAATATGTAGGCAACAGAGTTGCGACATTCTAGTGTATTTTCGAAGAACGGTTCAGTATTCATCAGAAGAAAAACAAATATTCAGGAATAACAACACAAGATATTTTGAATTATTTTTGAATAGCGGGAAATTGAGATGTCACTTTCGGATGCGCACTCATCATTCCATTTATGATCATTTATCAGCACTTCTTAAGTTGAAAGTTGGTCATCTTCTTGAATCTTAAATGTTAAATCATAAGTCTTAAGTGGTTTTATAACATAACCAATGATATTTCCATGTTCCATCTGTCATAAGTGATGAGCCTTAAATGTTAGGTGATAAATCTTGAGTCTTAAAGTTTTTTATAAAGTGGCCCTAAGTATATTATTCAATCCAGAAATTACATTCCATATTCTGATTGAAATGACAATCAGAAACATTCTTGTACTTGTCTATCAGATATAGAGAATTGATACGTAAGTCGAATCTTTTATGGTGTTCTCGAATGATGACGTCACACGTTTTCCCGCGTTTTTTATATATGTTATGAAATATCGTGAATTTCAATAATTATTTAAAAAAGTTACAGAGAAAACGGTTCGCGACAGTGAACTAGTTAGGGTTAGTAGGTACCTACCTCAAAATAATAAAATACAATTTTTCACTGGAACAGGCCCATTGCAGAATATCCCGCACCGTGCGGCGTCGGCGGGTTTATTTTTGGATAAACTTAACCTTATACCACAGTTGAGAGAAATGTAATATTCTCTCAACTGTGCTTATACTATTATATGTACCTACTTATGCTTCAAGGAAAAGAGTCAACTCACCTGAGGTAAAATAACATGCCAAGAAAACTAATAGGCCGCAAATGTACATATTTTTTGTAATATGGTAGGTATTATAGTCAAATTAATTCATCAATACCAACTAAGAATTCTATCCTTTATATCCTTCAGTTTTTTTTGGAAACCACTTGATTCTATGTATAGCAAGTATAGCAAAGAATGATATTGTCGAGACACATTCTGTTTTATACTGGTTTGAAATTCAGAACATGAATGAAATATCAAAGCGATGTGCGATTCCATAAACATCAACAACTTTATCTTGCGAGGAAAAACCCGTTCTTATAGTCTATGAAAAGACGAGTGATATCAAGCAATACTCATTAGCGAGATACGGAGTGAATCAACGCATATTATATATAGGTATATACAGGGTGGCCCTGAATGTCATGTACCATGTACAGGGTAGACCAAATCAGACACTTTCAAAAGGAAACTCACATTTTTGAACTACATATATAGATAAACGAAAACTGATAGCGGTTTCACTTTCAATGACACAACTCAATGGTGAAAACCGGAGGTTGATAGAATTGATGATTATATGTAGAGGAAGGTTGCCTCGATCAGAAAACGCGGTGAGAGAAGGTAGTAATTCGTGACGTAATCGATTCCAAATTTAGTTTTAGATCGATCGGCAAACTCTAGATTTTTTTATTTGTTTCTCGGGAAACTAATTCATAAACTCCTTGAAAGCTTCTCATGATCAATAGCGTTTGATTTGTTTAGGTCACAAGAATGTAACTTCATGGCATCAAATAAAATTCTCAATAATTAAAAAGGCAGTTTAAATAAATTCTTAGGGAGATTAAGTATAAACAATATGTAGATTTGGCAACGTTGTAAATGGTATTTTCAGATCAGACTTGCTGAAAACTTCTTTATAAATTAATTCTTATTGTCATATCGCCACGATTTCTCGAAATATTGAAATTTTGTGATATTTTTTGACGAAATGTTCATTTGTCATATTTACAAGAATGAAGGGAATACGAATTTGATAATATATAGGGTCATAGTAGTTTTGAAACGACAAATCGAATGCGCTAAAAATAAACATAAAAATTACATTAAAAAAAATAAAGTTGAGGGCTCTATAGGAAAAACTGTAAAACTGGCAACAAATAATATTTGCATTATTTTTAGATCTGGCACAACTGATTACCCCCCGTATGCCAAATTTCATAATTTTATGTCAAGCCGTTGCTGAAATATTCGGCCGTTCCGGTTCTTTTGGGAAACCCTGTATATAGTGTGACACCCGCTGTATCTCACGTAATCGTTGGGTAAGGATCCTGAAATTTGCTGAAGCGGGAGAAATCTCAGAAATGCACTCTATAACCAAGTGAGGTCATCTTCAGTGATATACACTGATCTCGCCAACAGCCATGGAATCACCCCAATTTCCGGAAAATGATAGTAGGAGTCAAAATAGGTCGGAAATCACTTCAGATTCTGAATCAGGATGCACAATGGGCGTGTACACCTTAGTAGAACTTTCAACTCAAACCATGTTTATAATGATCCTTTTATACATAAATAATGATCGACGACCTAATTCGATCGAAAAATTGACTGGCATGTTTTATTTTTGGACATAAATAATAGTACCATCTGAAAACGCACCCTCTTATGACGTAGAAACCTCATCTCGCCATAGTTAAAAGATAATAACAAAAGCCCGACGGAGACTGAGGCAACTGATATATTTTCTTTCAACTGTGATCTCGCGATAATTCACTCTGTCAGAAATCATGTATCATTCATCTCTGTCTGGGATAGTCTGGTTTCAGTATTAGGGTTTTGACGTCACATCATCGCCTCGTTTTCAGATGTCCGAAAAATCGGGGATTTCAATAATTTTTTATAAAACGTAGGGAGCTCACAGCAAGAAACGGTTTGCGGTGGTGAGCTAGTTTGGGTGAGTTCTATCGAATTATGAAATAATTTTTTTTTTGTGATATAAGCCCATTAACTATCTATTCATATTTTCCCTGGAAAATTTTCAGTTCTTAGAAATTAAATTTTGTCGCACTTTTTACGAAATCACCCCCATATCTTACGTGATTGACTTCATCTTTGGACTTTTCCCTCCTTCTGCAAATTTCAGAACCCTGCCTCAATAATTACGTGAGAAACGAGGGTGCTTCCATGAGAAGTGAGACAAAATTTCTGAACTGAAAATTTTCTAGAAAAACTATGAGTACTTAGTGAATTGGGAGTCCTGATTCCGAATCCAAAGTGATTTTCAACCTATTTTGACTCCTAACTCGACACCCTAATATCATTTTCCGGAAAATGGGGTGTTTCCATGGCCGTGTGTACATCACTGGAGAAGACCCTACTTGGTCATAGAGTGCATTTTTGGTATATCTCTCGCTCCAGCAAATTTCATGATCCTTACCCAACGATCGATTACGTAAGATACAGGGGTGTTTCCATTAGAAGTGGGTCACACTGTATATAGAAAAAAATGTTCACGATTATGTAGTGTGTTAGTGTTTTTATTTCACCATTTCAGAAACCTATGTATACAGAGTGTGCAAAATGGTCATGTCGTAAACGTTAGGGCTGATGGAGTGAGCCAAAATAATGTTATTACTCCATATAAAATAAATTTCTACCTTGCTTTCTTACGGAGTTATTGATTTTGAAAGTAAGAATGAAACAATATATTTCATGAATAACTTTCAAATGGTTGTCATGGTATCAACGATATTCTGAAAACGTATTCAACTTATTCCCTAATGTTCATTGCTATATGTAAACGGCTCTTTAGTGTGATTATGTTCTATACTCGATGGGATGATCGAATTTCTTCGGTTTGATGAAGGTAATTTTAAAACAGGAAACGAATTTGACATTTTGCTTCCACTGTATGATTTCTTCATCTTTTTTCTTCAAAAATAATATCTTTCATTTCAATCGAAAGCTTATTCCGTTCTCGAAGAAATCGTATTTTAAAACATTGATCCCAACCGTTTCAAAAAAACATGGTGAACATTAAATAATGTATGTAAAATCTTGTGGTCTCCACTCTGGTCATGGTAGCGGTACGTGTAAAAGGGCGCGAACGGACAACCATCAAACGGGACTGGAGGATTCCGGTCGACATGGGTGCTGGGCTTACTCAGCGAAAAATGGAACTTTGGTGTATCTTGTGCCTTAGTTCGTCAAGAAGGGGGTAGCCCCAAGCAATCCTACCGCCAGTCATCGTAGACAAAGCCGGGTCCTCTCCTGTAAACGAGGTAGAGGAACGTGTGAAAGTTCTCGAACGATCACTCATTCAGCGGGACGAGAGGATTCTTGTCAACATGAGTAGCAATTCGGCCAAAAGCCTCTTGCGACGGTGACCCATCGAACTTAACAAGAGGAATCTTGTTGACATGGGTATCTGGGGTGATGAGGATAGCCCCATCAGTTCGTACATACGGCCTGATGCCTCACCAATTGGGTTGGACTTCGGGGGGCAGCGGTTTCCAAGAAACACCACCGGACTGCGGTAGAGGAGGTGAAGAAGAATCCCACTATTGGTCAAGTGGGAGGATATCTTGCCTGCCTCGGCAGGTGAGCAGTGTTTCTGCTCGGGCACTGACACTGCAGAGCCAGTAGTCTGTCTTATCAGGCGGCCTGACCATTGGTATAATAAAATGGTAGCAGGAGAACATGCCGTTATACATAGCGGAGATGGCTCAAGCGCGCTGATTTGTCGGTTTGGCGTATCCAAAACCTTTATTTCTCCCAGGGGTGCTGTCAGTATAAGTCACCCGCAATGGGAGTCTTGTGAGATGCGATGGGATGTGGTCCCACGCGGTTGCTACCCCGACAACGCCCTGATTGATTGATTGTTGAAGCAGGAAAAGACCCAAGTTCTAGTATTCCTAAGATACCAAACACAACAAAAATATTGAAAGAGCGGTAGTTAATAACATTCTGGAGGAACAGTCGCTACATATCCGTATCATCTTTGTAAAGCCCATGCTTTGGCTGAATCTTACAACGCTCCACGTTTAGATATTCCAGCAGGATTTACAGAGAAACACCTCTATCTTCATGAATTAAGTTGTTTCAGCGATGAGGCTGGCTGTACTCTTGGTATTTTCAATTCGCGTAATACGCATATTTGGAATGATGAAAATCAGCATGCTATTATTCAAACTGCTCAATTGTACCTCATATCAACTTCAAATACAGATAAATATTCAACTATTTTGTAATAAAATCTAGAACAGGTTCCTTAGAATATTCGAGGTATTATGTGGCTGATGCACGATGGTGCGACTCTTAATTTCGGCAGAGCTATAAGAGTCATTTGAACATCACATTTCTCAACCAATCGGTCCCCCGATCTTGATTTACTCCTTGGGGTTATCTTAAAAGTTGAGTCTATCGAACACCTGTTAATATGGAGATGAGATTTTAAATCGCATTATTACATCTGCAGATGCCCTAAGAAATTAACATCATCACATGTTATCTCGAGTTCAACGACTTTTGTGGAGCTGCCGCCGCAGCACGTTTGTCAGAGGTTCTTCTGAGTTCACCGTAGTCCCATATTGTTGTCCCATTGTTGTTCTGAAGAGTCAAAATCTATTTTACTTCGGGAAAGTTGAGGTGGATTCATGCAACATCAACTAAATTATAATGAATTTAAGATTTAAACAAATTTTAAATTAAAAATATATGGGTGTTCATGCAATAACCTTTCATCGGCTGTTTAATCTTTTTCCATGGCGGCTATAGCTATTATTTGGCGCATGCGCAGTCGTGAATTATGGAAGAAATTAATTTCTTAGTTGAATATTGGCCATCTTTCTTCATTTTAATTTTAGTTTTAATTTTTTAGTTTCTTGCATCACACCTACATTACATTTCATATTGTTATACAGGGTGTAATTTGATTGATGACTAAAAATATAGGATATGGTTCTTCAGCTCATTTCAACGACTTTGAACGATGTTGAAATTCTAAGAAAAAAATCGTTTTCTGATCATAACTTCAATACTGTTCTGGATATGTCCAGCATTTAATTTGTCATGCATCTATTGAGGACCAATAGGAATTCATTGATGCAGGAGATTTTTTAATTTTTCTACCAGTGGCGTCCATATTGTATGTATACTGGGGATTTTTCTGAAAGAAATATTGTACGCCCTAGCTTCTTTTGAGAATAAAATTAATATTTGAAATCCTCATTTATTTAACAACAATCTGACCCCGTGATTTGTTACCCTTCTACGCACTGTTTTCGTGTAAAAAATCTAAAACCGTTCCCATGTATTCGTGGTATAATAAAATTATTTTGAACTAGTAGGCTACTGCCCTCTATTTTGTATTTGAAATGATGA